ACACACACACACACACACACACACACACACACACACACACACACACACACACACACACACACACACACACACGTTTGTCATTTATATTGGTGCAGTTTAATCTCCTCAGTCTTCATTTGAAGTAGTTTGACAAGGGCTGCTGCTCAGGGTCAGTTCCTGTGAGCAAGTCCAAAATCTCAGTCTGATTACAATATTTAAAGATTTCACTGGATGGACTTAAAATACCCACCAATTGAGCAGGGAGTTGAGACAAGTCCTGAAGGCTTTATTAAGTATTTGTGGTACAAGTCAGTGAAAACAACAGAATTGCAGCATTTAAGCTCTCCAGCCCATCCTTTGAGACATTTTCTTTGCAGCTGATTTTAGTGTTTGTAGTGGGACTTTCTTCTGAAGAGCAAGTGTTAGTGTAGATTTTTTCATCAGTGAAGTTGAATGTTCTAAGTAACCTTTAGTATTTAGTTTGACACACAGTAAATCAAGCTCAGATTAGCGTTCAGCTACATCTTTTTTTTTCCTATTTTTTTTAAAACTGGCCCGGGTCAATAAAACACTGCAGTGGAAATACAAATGATGAATAAAAAAAGCTAACCAGGCCATGATACCATCAACGTACAGTACATCATGCAGTCATTTTCTTTACGTGCTTCTTTCTTCCTGTTCAGGGTCGAGAGGAGTAGGGACGTTCATTTTACGCAAAAAGATTCTTCAAATTCATCCACTGTTCTTTGATCTCTTTCCAGTTTCTACTGAGCAAAACAGATATCTAMTTTACTCACCTTGCAGCTGAGAATGCCTCTTTTCCTCTTTCTTATTATGAAATGAACCACAGAAAATGCTGACCAAAGTTGGATCAGTAATTGTTCATTTGTTTCTAAAGGTACATAAAATATAGCACAGGTTTTTCTAATGTTTTGCTGTGAAACCTTTGCATTATTTTTACATTTTCCCCTCAAATCGAWAATGCTTTGAGAGTAGACTCCTGATAGCTCCACAGAACTCTATTTCAGAAAGTCAGAACAATTTACTATTATTTTTTTATATATTTCATATACCCTTCCTKCAGTATTGATACTTCTTGTCCCTCCTATTGTTCGTCCACAGGGAACCCTGACATTCCAAAACCCAGGCGTATCCTGCGCTCGTCGTGGGGCAGCAATCCTTACATCCGAGGCTCCTACTCCTTCACCAGAGTCGGGTCCAGCGGTGCGGACTGTGAAAGGCTGGCCATGCCGCTGCCTTATGCCAACAGCACCAAGGCTCCAGTAAGAACTATTACACAATATATTCACATTGTTTTGCCAGCCACATTTTAGGGTTTTTATTCACTTAGAAAAGTTGTTTCTCTTGTTTTAAGGTGATGCAGTCTGTAAATTTGAAAACCAGTCAAATAAAGTGTAAAAAAAGTGTGTTTGTTTGTRGCATTAGCAAAATATCTCAAGCTATAACTRTAACTCCATCAATTTTACAGAWATTGAGCATAAATTTGATGTGGTAGTAGCTGAAAGTGGTTCACAACTCATACTGTAAGTGCTAACAGATTTAGCAAGATGTCRCAAYGTTGCATGAGATCATGCATACTGTCATTAAGGTTTAACCAAAATGACTACATCTTAAGATAATCGTATTTTAACACTCTGACTTACAAGGTGGTGGGCAATAAGCATTCCTCTGAGAAATGTAAGGCCATTATTACTGCCTGCATTTCACAACAAGTCCCACCACAGGACAGCCAGAGCAGATTCAGCTGGTGTCAGAAGGGATATGAAAACTGATTCACGGCCAGAAGGCTAAACCATGAAACCTGATGACTGTAGGTGAAGGACATAGGAGCTAGAGGTGTATTTTGTATGGGGGTGGGTGGAGGTACTTTGTGCATACTTGAAACTAATGAAGGAACAGTATGATCTCCCTCCTGGGAGTCCTTCGGGGCAGCCAAGCTGAAATCAAACTTAAGCTCTCAGGATATTTTGAAGCCCTTCCTCATGTGAAGCACTAACAAGGGAARCAGAAATAGGAAATGTTGCTGCAGGAGACACTGAAATAATGCCAAGAAAATGGTCACAGATCTTGTTTTAAACCTGTTTTTTTTTTCTTTTTTTTTTTCCTTGCTCCCCACCCTGTTGCTTCATTCAGCCTCTGCAGGTCCTGTTTGCTGGAGAGTCCACCCACAGGAAGTACTATTCTACAACCCACGGTGCTTTGCTCTCAGGGCAGAGAGAGGCCACTCGCCTCACAGACATGTACCAGGACTTACACGCAGCGCAAACCACAAAGCCTAAAATGTAACAAAGATCAAACCTCTGACTAGTGAAAAAAATGAATAAATAAAACTTTGAGCTAAATAAAACTATGTCTTTCTGATTAAGGTGTACTTAAAAAGCATAGCTTGGGCATTTTCACTCTGATAACTAATGAATATTGTTTAACTGTACTGTAGATCTGAATCATGCRAATTTTTTGAGATGTCAAAACGTTGCCAATGGTGCTGTTATTTCTTGTCTTTGTCATTCTGTCATCCTKTTTGTTTGTTTTTTATCAATAAGGTCATGTTTATAGCAGCATCTGTAATTTACCTTGTTTTTGTAAAGTGCCTTCTGTATGTAATGTCATGTTACCTAAAAAATATTGGGAATACTAAACAAAAATTGTAAAGATTTTAACAAAATAAAAGTTTTATGATCATGAAACTGATTTTGCCTGTTTTGAAAACACAGTAGAGTTTAAATTCATAATCATGAAAGAAATGAAAAGTACAACAACAAGCATTGTTTTGGTGTCTTTAAATCTTGGAGAGGAGAAAAAATGCAGCAAAAACCCAACTGCAATGCTCAGAAAACACTTAACACTTCCTGTCAGAGTCCAGAAAATATTTTTCTTTTCTTTATTTTTTATTTTTTGGTGCCGTCTGTCTCTATTCTCTTCGTTAAAAATAAATTGACCTTTTATCCACTATTAGTAAACCAATCTGTGCATAATTTCCTCACCAAATAACCCTTCAAGTTAATGGAAGATTTTCTTTAAGTGCTCCTTAAAAAGGCGAATAATTGTTGGCTCCGGATTTTTCTGTATGGGTGTTAATTAACAAAAACATTTCAGCTCCTGATCTTGAACATTTTTGTTTTACATACTGCAAGTGGAAAAAAAAAAAAAGAAACATATACTGTATACGCAAAATGTAAGATGAAAGGAAACATACTAAAAACAGGAATTACTTACAGAACATGAAACACACCTAAAACAATTCAAGTTATCAAATGAAGCTTTATTTTTTGACAATTGTTGTTTACTACCAACAAAAATGTATTTACATTATAATCTGAACAGTGATGCACTTCAGCTGTAAATGACAGAAACAAAAAATAGCACTCCAAAAGGAAAAAAAAAAGACTAAGTTGGAATATCTTCCTAAAAGAAAAATAGCATTTTAAAAAAGTGCATTTCACCTTTTGCTTGTTTTAAACAAAGATGTCACGTATTCTGTCTCAGGGGTGACTCACCTTTGCTGTAACTTGATCTAATGATAACATGGGCAAAAAATACCCAAAGGTGCGTTAAAAACTTAAGTTGATCAGGGAAAAATGGATGACTGCTAAGGGATGAATGACTTCCTTAAAATGGGCTGACGACTGAATTGTCAAAGTTAAATCAAGCAGAACAGAAGTTACAATCTGCTAAATTTGGTAAAAGCCAAAATTACCAAAACAATTATCTAAAAATTTGCAAAGCTGTTGCTAAAAGC